TGTGGACAGGGAAATCGAGGGCGTGCGTGGACAGGGAAATCGAGGGTGTGGACAGGGAAATCGAGGGCGTGGACAGGGAAATCGAGGGCGTGGACAGGGAAATCGAGGGTGTGGACAGGGAAATCGAGGGTGTGGACGGCAAAATCAAGGGGTGTGGACGGGGAAATCGAGGGTGTGGATGGAGAAATCGAGGATGTGGACGGGCAAGTCGAGGGTGTGGACGGGAGTCGAGGGTGTGGACGGGGAAATTGAGCGCTTTTCATTGATGGGGGGGGGGGCAGAAATTTTCATAAAATAAAAGCACCTGAAAAGCTGAATAAAACTGCTTCCCTGTGTACCGGGTGTATTTGCTGCGAGGCAAAAAAGGCCTTTGCCTAGGGCGGCACTTTCAGGGGGGGGGTGGCAGTGGTGCAGTGGCGCCACCCCCACCCCTTTCCCATGAAAATGACAGCACAAAACCAAAATACACCCCTGCCTGTGTATGTGAATGTGAATGTGTTCACACGGAGGCGTGGCACTAGCGGTGCGGTGTAAAAACTCCCGCGTCTTTTGGGGCGTGTTTGGGGAGTTACAAAAAATGCCCCCAAAATGCCTCTTCCTATTGAATTTATTTTTTAATTGGACGTGTTTTATAGCAAAAAGTAAAAAATATTGTTTTTGTTTTCAAAATTGTCATTTTTTTTTTGTTTATGGCGCAAAAAATAAAAAGCGCAGAGGCGATTAAATACCACCGAAATAAATCTCTATTTGTGGGAAAAAAAAGGACGTAAATTTAATTTGGGTGCCGCGTTGCACGACCCGCGCAATTGTCAGTTAAAGTAAAGAGTCTTTTCACACAGGCATTATGTTTTTTTTTTCTTCAGTTCAGTCATGTTTTTTTCAAAGAAAATACGGATGAGTTTACATCCGTTTTTTCATCCATTTACATCCGCTTACATTCATTTAGATCCGTTTTTTATCCATTTATGTCCATTTTTATCCATCTTCATCTGTTTAGATCTGTTTTTCACTAAAAAAAAATCGGAACGGATGAAAGACGGATGTCAACGGATGTAAATGGACCAAAAAAATGGATGTAAATGGATGAAAAACAGATCTAAACAGATGAAAATGGATGAAAACGGACATAAACAGATGAAAATTGGATCTAAACAGATGAAAAATGGATCTAAACGGAAGAAGATGGATGAAAACGGACATAAACAGATGAAAAATAGATCTAAACAGATGAAAAACGAATCTAAACGGATGAAAAATGGATCTAAACAGATGAACATGGATGAAAACGGACATAAACAGATGAAAAAAAAATCTAAACGGATATAAAACGCATGTAAACCAATGTACTGTAAATGGATGAAAAACAGATGAAAAAAACGGATGAAAACTCATCTCATGTTTTTGTTGTGTTTTCTTCTGTTCAAAAAAAACGGATGTTAATGAATGCGGACATTAATGGATGTAAAAAGAAGTGCATCCGTTTACATCCGCATACATCCATTTTTGGTCCGTTTATAACCATTGACATCCGCTTTTTATTCGTTCCATTTTTTTGAACGGAAGAAAACACTAAAAAAAGGGAAAGGACGAAAAATGGATGTCAACGGATGTAAAGCAGACCTAAATGGATGAAAAATGGATGGAAATGGACATAAACAAATGTAAAATGGATCTAAACGGATGTAAACTCGTCTCATTTTTTTTTGTGTTTTCTTCCATTCAAAAAACCAGATTTTAATGAATGCGGACATTAACGGATGTAAAAAGAAGTTCATCCGTTTACATCCGTTTTAGGTCCGTTTACATCTGTTTTTTGTCCTTTCCGTTTTTATAGTGTTTTCTTCTGTTCAAAAAAATGGATGTCAACGGATGTAAACTGATCTAAACGGATGAAAAATAGATCTAAACGGATGAAAACGGACATAAACAGATGACAAATGGATGTAAACCAATGTAAATGGATGAAACACAGATGAAAAAAACGAATGAAAAAACGGATGTAAACTCATCTCATGGTTTTTTTTTCTGTGTTTTCTTCCGTTCAAAAAACATGGACATAAACGGATGTTAACAAATGCGAACATTAACGGATGTAAAAAGATGTTCATCCGTTTACATCCGTTTTTGGTCCGTTTACATCCATTGTTCATCCGTTACGTTTTTTTGAATGGAAGAAAAACACAAAAAAACCCAGAACGAAAGAAAAACAGATGCCAACGGTCCAAATACGGCTGTAAGTGGATGAAAAAACATTATAAAAACAAATGAAAAAAAACTATGTAAACTCATCTCATGTTTTTTTTGTTTTCTTCCGTTTAAAAAAAAAAAACAGATGTTAACGAATGAGGACATTAACGGATGTAAAAAGAAAACACACAAAAAACATGAGATGAGTTTACATCGTTTTTTTTTTCGTTTGTTTTTATAATCTGTTTTTCATCCATTTTCATCCGTTTAGATCCGTTTTTCATCCATTTACATCCGCTTACATCCTTTTCTGGTCCGTTGACATCCGTTGACATCCGTTATTTGTCTGTTCCGTTTTTTTGAACGGAAGAAAACACTAAAAAAAACCAAAAAGGCCTAAAAATGGATGTCAACAGATGTAAACAGACCAAAAATGGATGTAAACGGATGTAAATAGATGAAAATTGGATCTAACGGAGGAAAAACAGATCTAAATGGATGAAAACAGACATAAACGGATGAAAAACGGATGTAAACCAATGTAAATGGATGAAAAACAGATGAAAAATAAATGGATTAAAAACGGATGTAAACTCATCTCATATTTCTTTTAGTGTTCTCTTCCATTCAAAAAACTGGATGTGAATGAATGCGGACATTAACGGATGTAAAAATATGTTCATCCATTTATATCTGTTTTTGGTCCGTTTACATCCGTTGACATCCATTTTTCATCTGTTCTGTTTTTTTGAATGTAAGAAAACACTAACAAAAATGGAACGCACGAAAAACGGATGTCAACGGTTGTAAACGGACCAAATACAGATGTAAATGGATCTGAATGGATGAAAAACGGATCTAAACGGATGAAAACAGACAGAAATTCATTAAAATCAGTTTTTTTTAATGAAAGAAAACAGAAAAAAAACATGAGATGAGTTTACATCCATTTTTTCATCCATTTTTTTCATCTGTTTTTCATCCATTTACAATGGTTTACATCTGTTTTTAAATGGATGAAAAACGGATCTAAATGGATGAAAATGGATGAAAACGGACATAAAGAGATGAAAAATGGACCTAAACAGATGTAAACCAATGTAAATGGATGAAAAACAGATGAAAAAAGGATGTAAAAAAGATGTTCATCCGTTTACATCCGTTTTTGGTCCGTTTACATCCATTGACATCTGTTTATTGTCCGTTCTGTTTTTTTGAACGGAAGAATACACACAAAAAAAAGGAATGAATGAAAAACTGATCTAAACAGATGAAAATATAAAAAAAGTTAATCTGTAAATGGACCAAATACAGATGTAAATGGATGAAAAACGGATCTAAACGGATGAAAATGGATGAAAACGGACATGAAAAAAAAATGAAAGTAAACTCATCTCATGTTTTTTTTTGTGTTTTCTTCTGTTCAAATTAACAAATGCGGACATTAACGGATGTAAAAAAATGTTCATCCGTAAATGGATGAAAAATGGATCTAAATTATCATTATTACATGGAGTTTCTATAGCGCCAAAGGGTTTGCTCAGCACTGTACAATAGGGGGGGGGGGGGGCAATACATGAAACAGAACAGCAACAACAAACAGCACACAAGGGGTTAGAGGGCCCTGATCCTGGGAGCTTACAATCTAGGAGGGAGGGGGTAGTGGTACAGGAGGAAGTGGCTGTGGGGGATGAGGTGGTAGGAGGAGTGGAGGAGATCGGCTGTTAGGTGGGGGTGGGGTAGGCTTCCCTGAAGAGATGGGTTTTCAGGGTGCGCCTAAAGGTGAGGAGGGTGGGTGACAGTCTGATGGATTGGGGTAGTGAGTTCCAGAGGATGGGGGAAGTCCTGGAGAAGTCCTGAAGTCGGGGGAGGGAGGAGGAGACCAGGGAGCTAGAAAGTAGGAGGTCCTGTGAGGAGCGAAGATTACGGGTTGGGTGGTATTTGGGTATCAGGTCGGTGAGGTAGTTTGGGGCGGAGTTATGAATGGCTTTGTATGTCTGTGTTAGTAGTTTGAATTCAATGCGTTGGGCAATCGGGAGCCAGTGGAGGGATTGGCAGAGGGGGGTGGAGCCAGTGGAGGGAATGACAGAAGGGGGTGGAGCCAGTGGAGGGAATGACAGAGGGGGGTGGAGCCAGTGGAGGGAATGACAGAGAGGAGTGGAGGACACTGAGTGGAGGCCAGTGGAGGGATTGGCAGAGAGGGGTGGAGGACACTGAGTGGAGGCCAGTGGAGGGATTGGCAGAGGGGGGTGGAGGACACTGAGTGGAGGCCAGTGGAGGGATTGGCAGAGAGGGGTGGAGGACACTGAGTGGAGGCCGGTGGAGGGATTGGCAGAGGGGGGTGGCAGAAGCGGAGCGGTTGATAAGGTGGATGAGTCTGGCCGCTGAGTTCAGGATGGTCTTAAGCGGGGAGAGCCTGCACTGGGGTAGGCCGGTGAGGAGGGAGTTGCAGTAGTCCAGGTGTGAGATAATCAGGGAGGGAACGAGTAGTTTAGTGGTGTCTGGGGTAAGGAAGGAGCGTATCATGGAGATGTTGCGGAGGTGGAGCCTGTATGAGTTGGTAAGTGATTTGACATGAGGTTGGAAGGAAAGGTTTGAGTCCAGAGTGACACCTAGTACTTTGGCTTGCGGGGCGGGATTGATAGTGGTGTTGTTGGTGGTGATGGAGAGGATGGGGGGGGGGTGCGGGCTGGGGGAAAAAAAAAACGAGGAGCTCGGTTTTGGAGAGGTTCAGTTTGAGGAAGTGGAGTGACATCCAGTCTGATATGTCGCTCAGTAGGTGGGTGATATGGGCGGAGACTGAGGGGGTGAGGTGGGGGGTGGAGAGGTAGATTTGTGTGTCGTCGGCATAGAGGTGGTAGTTGAAGCCGTGGGAGTGTATGAGTTTGCCGAGGGAGGAGGTGTAGATGGAGAAGAGAAGGGGTCCAAGGACAGAGTCTTGAGGGACTCCAACAGAGAGGGGGAGGGGAGGTGGCACCGTTGTAGGAAACGCTGAAGGAGCGTCGGGATAGGTACGAGGAGAACCAGGAGAGAGCGGTGTCTCTGACGCCAAGGGAGAGTAGTTTATTAAGGAGGAGGGGGGTGGTGGACTGTGTTGAAGGCCGTGGAGATGTCAAGGAGTAGGAGGACAGAGTAGTCGCCTTTGGCTTTGGCGGTTAGCAGGTCGTTGGTGATTTTGAGGAGGGCGTTTTTCGGTGGAGTGTAGGGGGCGGAAGCCGGACTGTAGGGGGTCAAGGAGGTTGTTGTCGGTGAGGTGAGAGCTTAGGCGGGTGTAGATGAGGTGCTCAAGGAGCTTGGAAGTGAGTGGCAGCAGGGAGATGGGTCTGAGGTTGTTTGGGTCTGTGGGGTCCAGGGAGGGCTTTTTAAGTATGGGGGTGATGAGCGCATGCTTTAGGGGGGAGGGGAATACGCCAGTAGAGAGGGAGAGATTGAAGATGTGAGTGAGGGAGCGGATGAGGGAGGAGGGGGGTGACTGGAGGAGGTGAGCGGGGATAGAGTCCAGGGGGCACGTAGTGAGGCGGGCTTCTGAGAAGACTCTGGTGACTTCCTCAGTGGTAGTAGGGCTGAAGGAGTGCAGTGCTGGGGGAGTTACGGTAAACGGGGCCTTGGGTGTGGTGGGGGGCAGTGCGGTTGCGAGGTCAGAGGAGGGGAGAGATGAGGGGGTGATGGGGGGGGAGGCAGATTGCGAGTTGATTATGTCCTTACGGATTGCATCAATCTTGTTGTGGAAATTGGTGGCAATCTCGCGGGCGGTGAGTGAGGTACTGAGTAGAGGAGGGGGGGAGCGAGCAGGGAGTTGAAGGTGGAGAAGAGTCGGTGAGGGCAGGTGGAGAGGGTGTTGATAAGGTTTAGGAAGTAGGCCTGCTTGGCGGCGTGGAAGGAGGAGGTGTAAGTGAGGAAGGCAGATTTGTAGAGGGAGAACGCACGAGGGGACCTGGTTTTGCGCCATAGTCTCTCCAGCGCGCGACTGCGACGTTTGAGGCATTTAGTATGGTCGTTCTGCCATGGTTGGAGCGGTCTGGGTTTGATGTTGCGTGTGGTTAGGGGTGCCAGAGAGTCTAGGGCAGCTGACAGCGAGTCGTTGTATGTGGCGGTGGCTGGGTCAGGACATGACAGTGGAAAGATGCTGTCGTGTAGGCGGTCGGCGGCCGAGTGTAGGGGGGCTGGGTTTAGGTTGCGGCTGGTGATGGTTTTTGGCGCCTTGGGGGAAGGGGAGATGGAGAACGTGAGGAGGTGGTGGTCGGAGAGAGGGAAGGGGGGTGTTAGTGAACTGGTTGAGCGTACAGAGGTGGGAGAAGACGAGGTCCAGGGTGTTCCCATCGATGTGGGTGGAGGATTGAGTGTGCTGTGTGAGTGCGAAGGAGGAGGTTAGGTGGAGGAGTTGGGATGTAGCCGGGTTGTTGTTGTTGATGGGGATATTGAAGTCCCCGAGGATGATGGTCGGTAGCTCAGAGGAGAGGATGAAGGGAAGCCAGGCGGCGAAGTCATCCAGGAAGCGGGGTATGGACCCGGGAGGCCTGTAGATCACTGCGATCCTTAGGGGGGGGGTGGGGGAGAAGTGCCGGATACAGTGCGCCTCGAAGGAGGAGAATGACAGAGAGGGGGGGGTTAAGGAGGACCTGGAAGGTGTGCAGCGGTGATAGGAGCAGGCCGACACCACCACCTCTGCAACCGCTCGGTCTAGGTGAATGGGTCCAGATGAGACCTCCATGGGTGAGTGCCGAAGGGGAGATGGAGTCAGTGGCCTGTACCCAGGTTTCGGTGACCGCTAGGAGGTTGAGGGAGTGGGAGATAAAGAGGTCATGGATGGCTTAAATGGATGAAAATGGATGAAAACGGACATAAACTGATGAAAACCGGATCTAAACGGATGAAAATGGACATTACTGGATGAAAAACGGATCTAAACAAATGAAAATGGATGAAAACGGACATTAACGGATAAAAAACGGATCTAAATGGATGAAAACAGACATAAACTGATGAAAACTGGATATAAACGGATGAAAATGGATGAAAACGGACATTAACGGATAAAAAATGGATCTAAATGGATGAAAATGTGCATAAACGGATGAAAAACAGATCTAAACGGATGAAAATGGACATAAACGGATGAAAAATGGATCTAAACGGATGAAAATGGATGAAAATGGACATTAACGGATGAAAAACTGATCTAAACGGATGAAAATGGATGAAAAACGAACATAAACAGATGAAAAAGGGATCTAAATGGATGAAAACGGACATAAATGGATGAAAAACGGATCTAAATGGATGAAAATGGATGAAAAAGAACATAAACGGATGAAAAACGGATCTAAATGGATGAAAATGGATGAAAACGAACATAAATGGATGAAAAACGGATCTAAACTAATAAAAAACAGATGTAAAGCATGTGCATTGGGGTGAGTGGCCCTTGAAACCTTCAATGATACGTTTTCATAAAACACGAGAAGGACACAATGAACGATTTCCACCACCGTCCCGTCCAATGTGACCATAAATATAGAACGTGCTAATCTTTCTACTTCACAGATCTATTTCAAGCGCAGGAATTGACACCTTGGACCACGGACTATGAAGAAGTAGCCGGACTCGCCACTACAAATCAAGAATGAATAGAGATCGAGTTCACCAAATCAAACCACGGCGACACCCCACCTACCTGTGAGCAGGCTCAGGAGCAGCACCGTGGGGGCCATCGCTGGAGATTCTCGCAGTGCTCAGGGCCAACCTCAGCGTCGTTTAGTACCCAAGTGCTGGACCCCTCCCTCTGTACCACAGATTCCATTCGTGGTCTTCTGCTGAACATTGCCTGTACTTCTCGTATTTCTCAGCTAGAAAAAGGAAATATCAACTTTAGCTTCAGACCACATTGCTAAGCGAGAGAAACGAAAACAGGATAACCGTTCGGTTGGTGTCGTCTCACGGCACATCGATTGTCGTCTTGTCCTGACGCTGGATCAGAGACAAAGTGTGTGGCTGCATCTGGGCTACAGTGAAGGTAATAAGTGCGGTATTGGCTCCCCTCTGATGGTGAATGTTCGCCCCTCACACAGAAATGATCGGTCTAACAATGGAATGTTCGCCCCTCACACAGAAATGATCGATCTAACAATGGAATGTTCGCCCCTCACACAGAAATGATCGGTCTAACAATGGAATGTTCGCCCCTCACACAGAAATGATCGGTCTAACAATGGAATGTTCGCCCCTCACACAGAAATGATCGGTCTAACAATGGAATGTTCGCCCCTCACACAGAAATGATCGCTCTAACAATGGAATGTTCGCCCCTCACACAGAAACGATCGGTCTAACAATGGAATGTTCGCCCCTCACACAGAAACGATCGGTCTAACAATGGAATGTTCGCCCCTCACACAGAAACGATCGGTCTAACAATGGAACGTTCGTTCCCCTCACACACAGAAATGATCGCTCTAACAATGGAATGTTCGCCCCACACAGAAATGATCGGTCTAAAAACAATGGAAAAACGATCGGTCTAACAATGGAATGTTCGGTGTAACACTGAGAGACAGAATACAACAACAAATTCAGCAAAATGCGTCTAACAAATGATGACGGATCTGCATGTTCATGAGGGAAAGAAGGATTTGGTCTCCTATCATTCAGCAGGATTTCTGGCTCCCAGGTGTCTCTCATACAGGTAACAAGCTGAGATTAGAAGCAGTCTCTTAAAGGGAGTGCTGCTAATCTCATTGTGTTACCTGTATAAAAGACACCTGTCCACAGGAGCCATCAAACCATCAGATTCCAAACTCTCCACCATGGCAAAGACCAAAGAGCTGTCCAAGGATGTCAGGGACAAGATGGTAGACCTACACAAGGCTGGACTGGGCTACCAAACTATGGCCAAGCAGCTTGGTGAGAAGGTGACAACAGTTGGTGCAATCATTCACAAATGGAAGAAACACAAAACACGTGTCAGTCTCCCTAGGTCTGGTGCACCATGCAAGATCTCACCTCGTGGAGTGTCAATGATCATGAGAACAGTGAGGAATCATCCCAGAACTACACGTGAGGATCTTGTCAATGATCTCCAGGCAGCTGGGACCACAGTCACCAAGAAAACAATTGGTAACACACACTACGCCGACAAGGACTGAAATCCTGCAGTGCCCGCACGGTCCCTCTGCTCAAGAAAGCCCATGTCCAGGCCCGTCTGAAGTCTGCCACTGAACATCTGAATGATGCCGAGGAGGACTGGTGGGAAGTGTTGTGGTCAGAGGAGACCAAAATCCAGCTCTTTGGCATCAACTCAACTCGCCGTGTTTGGAGGAGGAGGAATGCTGCATATGACCCCAAGAACACCATCCCAACTGTGAAACATGGTGGTGGAAACATTCTGCTTTGGGGGTGTTTTTCTGCTAAGGGGACAGGACAACTGCACCGCATCAAAGGGATGATGGACGGGGCAATGTACCCTCAAATCTTGGGTGAGAACCTTCTTACCTCAGCCAGGGCATTGAAAATGGGTGGTGGATGGGTGTTCCAGCATGACAATGACCCAAAACACACGGCCAAGGCAACAAAGGAGCGGCTCAAGAAGAAGCACATTAAGGTCCTGGAGTGGCCTAGCCAGTCTCCAGACCTTCATCCGATTGAAAACTCTGTGGAGGAGCTGAAAGTTCGAGTTGCCAAACGTCAGCCACCAAACCTTAATGACTTGGAGAGGATCTGCCAAGAGGAGTGGGCCAATATCCCTCCTGAGATGTGTGCGAACCTGGGGGCCAACTCCAGGAAACGTCTGACCTCTGTGATTGCCAACAAGGGATTGGCCACCAAGTACTAAGTCATGTTTTGTGAAGGGGATCAAATCCTTCTTTCCCTCATGAACAGGCAGATCCGTCATCATTTGTTAGACGCATTTCTGCTGAATTTGTTGTTGTATTCTGTCTCTCAGTGTTACACCGAACATTCCATTGTTAGACCGATCATTTCTGTGTGAGGGGCGAACATTCCATTGTTAGACCGATCATTTCTGTGTGAGGGGCGAACATTCCATTGTTAGACCGATCGTTTCTGTGTGAGGGGCGAACATTCCATTGTTAGACCGATCATTTCTGTGTGAGGGGCGAACATTCCATTGTTAGACCGATCGTTTCTGTGTGAGGGGCGAACATTCCATTGTTAGACTGATCATTTCTGTGTGAGGGGCGAACATTCACCATCAACAGGGGAGCAAATACACATTTCCTTCACTGTACAAACTGGGGGGGGGGGGGGGTATGTAGCACTTAGATGGGCTCCTTTAAGCCACCCCGCAGAAGGTTTCTTGCACAGGTTGGACAGCACAGGGAGACGGGGTGCAAATTCTAATTGGCTGCTACTGCAGCCCAGGACTGTGAATGGATGCCAAAGAGGAGTGCCCACCCCCTAGAAATGGGGCAAAAGAGGAACCTGAGTGATGGCCAGGGCAAGATGGAATCTGACAGACCAGTGGGTGGCTAAGCCCCAACCACTCTCAGAATGGGGAGGAGTGCGGGGTGCTCAGGTGAGTTGAGGGTACCAGGAAAGTGGCGAAACACCTCCAGGAAGCAAGGCTAGAATGCCAGGGGCTTTGGCTACCAAAGACCAACTGCTGCTAGGACAGACCGTGGGCCTAGTGTTGCTGCTGGTGAGAGCCCAGGACCACACGGCTCCTGTTACTGTCTGTTGCTGAAGTTGGAGCCCAGGAGGGAAGCTGCATGCGGGATGGAGTTGCTTTTCCAGAGTCTTTGAGGAGGTTTTTAGTGGAAGAGCAAAACAGGGCATAGCCGCCCAAAGAGGATCTTTGCCCTACCTGAATCCATTCGGGGGGTTGCGATTTACCCCATGACCACCCTGACTTGGCTGACCCAAGTCTGGACAGTGACCAGAAGGAGGTTACCACAGCTCTGGTTTGGTGAGAGGCCTACTGGCCACCCCAGTGCATTACTGTTGCCATTCTCACTATCTGGAAGAACTTTTCCATAGGCCGTGGATTACAAATCTCCCATTTGGGGAAAAAAGGGCTCCACCATGAGTAGAGGGCCCCAACGCCGGCAGGACTGAGTTTGGTGAGAGGCCTACTGGCCACCACAGTGCATTACTGTTGCTATTGTCACTACCTGGAAGAACTTTTCCGTAGGCCGTGGATTACAAATCTCCCATTTGGGGAAAAAAAGGGCTCCACCATGAGTAGAGGGCCCCAACGCCGACATGACTGAGTATGGTGAGAGGCCTACTGGCCACCACAGTGCATTACTGTTGCCATTGTCACTACCTGGAAGAACTTTTCTGCATGCCGTGGATTACAAATCTCCCATTTGGGGAAAAAAGGGCTCCACCATGAGTAGAGGGCCCCAACGCCGGCAGGACTGATTAGGGGCCCACTGGCTAGGCAGAGCATATTTACAGTAGAAAAGTTTCCACTGCTGATATTATTTCTCTTGGCATTAATATTTCTCCCTGGTGATACTTTACAGAGTCGAGGTAAATATTGTGGCTACAGTTGTGTCCGTGTCATTTCCTTCGTTTTCTGGCCAGAGGGGAACGATTGGTACTAGAGCACATAGACGTGTGTCCTGCAAGACCAAGTCCGTATCGTCTTGGAAACCGTTCTCTAACCCGACTTACTCTACAGGGCTCTTGCCTTCGGGAACAAAGGCCATTCAAAAAGTTTTGGGTGTGTCAATGGGGTCAAAAATGGGGGTCAAAAACGGAGCAGGGCAGGAGGACCCAATTAATCCACCATCTCCTCCAGAGGTGGTTCTTCACACATGTATTTCTAATACACTTCCTACTGAATGCAAATCGTTCTCTGATTGGATGGGGTGGAGATTGTGATGTCACTGCTCGCTTTTTACTCCTCGTCCAATCAGAGAAGGCAAAGTGCACTCTGAAGGATGCCCATACAGAGCGGCTAACCTCCTGGGTTCGCAATGCCACTCAGCACGGGACCTGGAAGCAAGTGCAGATCACTGGAGTGGTGGTGCCTACTTCAGGGATTTCCAGCTTCCGTGGGGATCACCCAGGTATAGTAAATGTAGGGGAACAAAAATCCTTCCTGATCCCCCCGAGAGGCAATCGGATATTCCCTGGATCAGCTTTACCTATAAAACTAAATGGTTAGAACTTCCACCTGGCAGCATTAGGGTCGATGGTTCAAATCCCAACCATGGCACCACCTGCCTGGAGTTTGTATGTTGTCCCTGTGCCTGCATGGGTTTCCTCCGGATACTCTGGTTTCCTCCCACCCTCCAAAGACATGCTGGTAGGTTAACTGGCTCTTGTCTAAACTGGCCCTAGTATGTGTTTGTAGGAATGTCAATTAGGGACCTTAGATTGTACGCTCCTCGGGGGCGGGGACTGATGTGAATGTACAATATATATATTTAAATTGATGGCGCTATATAAGAACCTGAAATAAATCAATAAATAATGATCATGAAGAAACTTGAATCACCGCTCCAAGCTGAGGCTAATATGCCAACCTACCGGTGTTCAGGAGATGGGAGCAGGCATCAAAATTCACTCATCCAGAAGTGTCAAACTGCACTATATTGTCGAAAGTATTGACCCCGCCCTCCAAATCATGTGATTCAGGTGTTCCAATCCTCTCCCAATCATGTGATTCAGGTGTTCCAATCCCCTCCATATCATGTGATTCAGGTGTTCCAATCCCCTCCCAATCATGTGATTCAGGTGTTCCAATCCCCTCCAATCATGTGATTCAGGTGTTCCAATCCCCTCCCAATCATGTGATTCAGGTGTTCCAATCCCCTCCATGGACATGGTGTATACAATCCATCCCCTAGGCATGCAGACTGCTTCTACAAACATTGGTGAAAGAATGAGCTCAGTGACTCCAAGCGTGGTCCCGTGATAGGTGGCCACCTGGGCAATAAGTCCATCCGTGACATTTCCTGGCTACTAAATATTCCACGCTCAACTTTTAGTGGGATTATAACAAAGTGGAAGCCACTGGGAACAACAGCCACTCAGCCACCAAGTGGTAGGCCACGTCACATGACAGGGCGGGGTCAGCGCATGCTGAAGCGCACAGTGCGCAGAAGTCACCAACTGTCTGCAGAGTCAATAGCTAAAGACCTCCAAACTTGGTGTGGCCTTCAGATGAGCCCAACAACAGTGCGTAGAGAGCTTCATGGAATGGGTTTCCATGGCCGAGCAGCTGCATCCAAGCCTTCCATCACCAAGTGCAATGCAAAGAGTCGGATGCCGTGGTGTAAAGCACGCCACCACTGGACTCTAGAGCAGTGGAGACATGTTCTTTGGAGGGACCAATCATGCTTCCCTGTCTGGCAATCCGATGGACGTGTCTGGGTTTGGCGGTGGCCAGGAGAACGGTACTTGCCTGACTGCATTGTGCCAAGTGTAAAGCTTGGTGGAGGGGGGATTATGGTGGGGGGTTGTTTTTCAGGGGTTGGGCTTGGCCCCCTAGTTCCAGTGAAGGGAACTCTTAAGGTGACATTTTGGACAATTTCATGCTCCCAACTTTGTGGGAGGAGTTTGGGGATGACCCCTTCCTGTCCCAACATGACTGCCCACCAGTGCACAAAGCAAGGTCCATAAAGACATGGAGGAGCCAGTTTGGGGTGGAGGAACTTGACTGTCCTGCACAGAGTCCTGACCTCAACCCCATAGAACACCTTTGGGATGAATTAGAACGGAGACTGTGAGCCAGGCCTCCTCCCCCGACATCAGTGCCTGACCTGACAAATGTGCTTCTGGAAGAATGGTCCAACCTTCCCATAGACACCCTCCTAAACCTTGTGGACGGCCTTCCCAGAAGAGTTGAAGCTGTTATAGCTGCAAAGGGCGGGGCCAACTCAATATTGAACCCTACGGACTAAGACTGCGAGGCCATTAAAGGTCATGTGTGTGGAAACGGCGGGGCCAACTCAATATTGAACCCTACGGACTAAGACTGGGGGGCCATTAAAGGTCATGTGGGTGGGAAGGGCGGGGCCAACTCAATATTAAGCCCTACGGACTAAGACTGGGGGGCCATTAAAGGTCATGTGCGTGGGAAGGCAGGCGGCCCGATACTTGGGGCAATATAGTGTATGTTGTATAGGACGCCGCTCAGACCAACCTAACCACTAACCCCAAACCCCAGCCCAGTATGTCTGAGTATCGACTTCCTTTCATTCGTCTTGCTTTCCTCAGTCTACACCTAATTTAGAACGATAGATTTGGGTCGATTTACCTTCTTGTTTTATTTGATGAGAAATCTGATGTTCCCTCTCTGACTTGCATTAAAGCACCTAAAGCTTCGACATGATTTTCTATTTGTTACATAGGGACCCAGTAGAACCCTGCGCTCAGTAGTATCCCCACTCAGCAGATCCCCAGCTTCTTAGTACCCCTGTTCAGCATTGGTGCCCTCATTCAGCAGATCCACAGCTTATTAGTACCCTTGCCCATCAGATCCCCTGCTCAGTAGTACCTCCAGCTCTGTTGATTTAAAGAGGCCCAGTAGAACTCTGCACTCAAAAGTACCCCCACTCAGCAGATCCCCAGCTCCTTAGTACTGCTGTTCAGCATTGGTGCTCTTGTTCAGCAGATCCCAAGCTTATTAGTACCCTTGCCCAGCAGAACCCCTGCTCAGTAGTACCTCCAGCTCTGTTGATTTAAAGGGCCCACTAGAACCCCACACACAGTAGTGCCCCCACTCAGCAGATCCCCAGCTCCTTAGTACCCCTTTTTAGCATTGTGCCCTCATTTAGCAGATCTGCAGCTTATTAGTACCCTTGCCCAGCAGATCCCTTGCTCAGTAGTACCTCCAGCTCTGTTGATTTAAAGGGACCCAGTAGAACCCCAAGCTCAGTAGTACCCCCACTCAGCAGATCCCCAGCTCCTTTGTACCCCTGTACAGCATTGGTGTCCTCTTTTTGCAGATCCCCAGCTTATTAGTACCCTTGCCCATCAGATCCCCTGCTCAGTAGCACCTCCAGCTCTGTTGATTTAAAGGGGCCCAGTAGAACCCCAAGCTCAATAGTACCCCCACTCAGCAGATCCCCAGCTCTTTAGTACCCCTGTTCAGCATAGGTGCCCTCATTCAGCAGATTCACAGCTTAATATTACTCTTGCCCAGCAGATTCCCTGCTCAGTAGTACCTCCAGCTCTGTTGATTTAAAGGGGGCCAGTAGAACCCCACACTCAGTAGTACCCCCACTCAGCAAATCCCCAGCTCCTTAGTACCGATGTTCAACATCGGTGCTCTCATTTAGCAGATCCCCAGCTTATTAGTACCCTTGCCCAGCAGATCCCCTACTTAGTAGTACCTCCAGCTCTGTTAATTTAAAGGGGCCCAGTAGAACCCCATGCTCAATAGTACCCCCACTCAGCAGCAGCCATGATACCCACACTCTAATTTCTATTTCTCTGCTTCAAAGAACCAGCATCCCATTCTCAAGTGCCCTCCAGAATGCCAACTCTTGTCTACAGCAAGCTCACCTCTGTCCATGACATCCAACTCCTGTAACCAACTTGCTGTTGCTGAGACGTGGGTTTAGGAATCTGCCTCCCTCTCTCTGGTGGCCTCCACTGGACTCACTGGCCCAGACTCAGTGGATGAAAAGGAGGTAGAATTGGTGTAATGTACCTATGATGGCACCTGCGGAGCAGAGGAAGGCCTCTTTTACAGCTCTGGCCAAGGAGCCCTGGTAAAGTAACAGGGAGCACCAGAGCAGAGTGGCACAAGTGCCTGATAAGACTTCTGCTGGTGGATGCTGATGTGCGTCCAGGTACGTGGGAGCAGATAGCCGATGGCACTGTCACGATCAGGGGTCAGGCTTGAAGACCAGTTGCTATGGCAGTGGAAAGGCTCACCTGAAACCAGCAGGATAGGTACACAGGCAGGTCACTGTGGCAGAGGAGTGGGATCACCCGAGGTGCCGAGTCTAAGTACCAACCGGTGTTCACCACAGCTCCTGATGGTGGAAATGGATTTTGCTGCATGTTAGCACCTGGTCACGGTCCTCAGGATCACCCCACCAGGAGGTGAGCAAGTGGAGGTGCAGTAGCGTATGAACAGGTAAGGTTCAAACGGAAGCGTGGTCAGTAAACAAGTCAAGGTCGGTAATGAGCAGTCGCAGGTTGGGATCAGACAGAGGCGTAGTCGAGAACAAGCCAAGGTCGGTAATGAACAGTCGCAGGTTGGGATCAGGCAGAAGCATAGTCGAGAACAAGCCAAGGTCGGTAATGAGCAGTCGCAGGTTGGGATCATGTAGAAGCGTAGTCGAGAACAAGCCAAGGTCGGTAATGAGCAGTCGCAGGTTGGGATCATGCAGAAGCGTAGTCGAGAACAAGCCAAGGTCGGTAATGAGCAGTCGCAGGTTGGGATCAGACAGAGGCGTAGTCGAGAACAAGCCAAGGTCGGTAATGAGCAGTCGCAGGTTGGGATCAGGCAGAAGCATAGTCGAGAACAAGCCAAGGTCGGTAATGAGCAGTCGCAGGTTGGGATCATGCAGAAGCGTAGTCGAGAACAAGCCAAGGTCGGTAATGAGCAGTCGCAGGTTGGGATCAGGCAGAATCGTAGTCGAGAACAAGCCAAGGTCGGTAATGAGCAGTCGCAGGTTGGGATCAGGCAGAAGCGTAGTCGAGAACAAGCCAAGGTCGGTAATGAGCAGTCGCAGGTTGGGATCAGGCAGAAGCGTAGTCGAGAACAAGCCAAGGTCGGTAATGAGCAGTCGCAGGTTGGGATCATGCAGAAGCGTAGTCGAGAACAAGCCAAGGTCGGTAATGAGCAGTCGCAGGTTGGGATCAGGCAGAAGCGTAGTCGAGAACAAGCCAAGGTCGGTAATGAGCAGTCGCAGGTTGGGATCAGGCAGAAGCGTAGTCGAGAACAAGCCAAGGTCGGTAATGAGCAGTCGCAGGTTGGGATCAGGCAGAAGCGTAGTCGAGAACAAGCCAAGGTCGGTAATGAGCAGTCGCAGGTTGGGATCAGGCAGAAGCAGAGTCAAGAACAAGCCAAGGGTCAATAATGAGTGGCAGCAAAATACGGATAATAACAGAGAAGGCAAGGAGCAAGATACTGGCTGGAGAGCACAATAATCTGGCTATCAGGAAGTGCAGAGACATGGCTTATATCAGGAAGTTCATGGGAGGAGCAAGGGGTTCAAGGTTCATGACAAACAAGGTCAAGGTAGGATCATCCAAATAATTGTCAAGGCAGCTGTCCAGCATTCCAGGTGGCTCAGCAAGAAGAAACGTTGCCTCTCACCACAGAAGGCCAAGGTTTGGACCCAGGCTCTGACAGGCAATCTGGCAGAAAAGCAGGAGCTGGAGACAGGAACTGCTCATCTGGTTCAGGAAGATGGATCAAGGCAAGGTCAGACAGTCTGGGTCAGCAACAAGCAGGCAGATCAGGCATGGACGGCAGGCAAAAGAGTAGTCAGGAGTCAGGCCAGAATTGGTAACGGCAACGCAGATGAGCAGAAGGAGCAGACAGAAGAGAAGTCCAAAGGCAAGCCAGCAGGCAGCATTCAGGCAGACTCAGGAGCAGCTCAGGTTGGCAACAGGAGAGAAACAGATGCATGGATCCTTCGGGAACATAGTAGACCAAACGGCGCTGATACAAGGAACTAGTGCAGCTGAAATAGCCCCTCTGGTGCCAATGAGCCCTCATACATGCACACATGCGCACCTGCTAAATGGCCACAAGCAGGGCTTACAGGAATCCTGCGCACCATTGACTGTTGGACTCCTTTTATCCGCACAGTGC